TACAGCACGCCGACTGCTTGGAACTGGTAATGAAACGACATATTGAAAATTGTTAAATATTTTAGTTAAATAAAATAATATAAATTGTTAAATATTTTAGTTTATATAAATTGCGTGTGATCAATATAATGATTGTATTTTTCAAATGTTGTTTGTTTGTTATTAATTCTATTTGTGATACCGTGGTTACGGTAAATAATATGTAGCCTATATCCTAGAACTTTAAGAACCAGTATTCCAATCGTCGATAAGTATTTTACGTCAGAAGGAAAAACCAGTATTACAAATTCCAAAAAATATCTATTTGGTATTTATTTTTATCAAATTATATGTGTGTAGTCTAAATGTGTTATTTTCTCCCTACATCAATTTTTCTATTGGTAAAAAATTTGATCGGGTATAATGTACTGTATAAAAAATAACAAAACTAAGAAATTAAAAGATTTTAGTTTGTGTACACGACATCGGCAATAAACTTAAATATTGAAGTCAAAATCAAACTAACATAAAACTAAAACTAGTTATAATTTAGATTCCGAGTGGAGCGAAGAAACTTATGGTTTTACAAAGATGTTTTCTGTGACAACTTTTTCTACCAGAGAAATTGCTCCGATTTTTACGTGTAGAACCTTTTCTGAAAGAAAACCGGTGTGAGAAGATACTTTAAAGATGTCGATTTTTTTAAGCGTTTTCTCGTCGAATGCAAAAAACTGAAAATAAATCTAAGGAAAAACGGGAAAATGTACGAAATATATTATTATATTATTACGTTTTTTTTTCTGTGGACAATTTTCTACCAGCAATTTTGCTTCAACTCATAGCAAATTTTCTATAAAAGAAATTTTACTGGGTAGGTACTTTACAGAGGTTGTGTTTTGATTTTCTCTGGAGTGGTCTTATCAAATGAAAAAAACTGAAAAAAAACGTTTGAAAATTTAAAAAATGTTGGTATTAGCTAAAAATATTATGGCTTTCTTTTTTCCTGTGGACAATTTTTCTAACAGCAATTTACTCCGATTTATAATGATAGCAATTTTTTTTATATATTATAGCAAATATCAATATATCCAACTACCTATAGATATTTTGTTTAATTATAAAAAATGTATTCGAATTAGAGAAAACATCATCGACAGTTATAAAATTAGTTTGATCTGCACGATCTACTGTTAGAATAATTCGTTCTATTAACGAGAGTCTAGGATACTTGTGAATTTGTTAGACATAGTTCAATGTAGGTAAGTAATTAATTTTTAAATAACATGTACAATTAACAACTAATACGATAAAAGCCAAAGTTATTATTAAAAATGTGAAAAAAATAAATACAAAATAATGGTAATTAACACGTTATCGTGTTCACAATGGATTTCTTTGACAATTGACAGACAGTATTATTTTTTCCCGTATATACGCATAGGTACTGCCTATCTTGAATTACATACATCTAACCAACTTTTTCTCTACAACAGCAGTTTAGAAATGTTATATGAAACTATAGATATCCCAGGTATACATAGTATAATATTATGAAAAGGTCTTTTTTGCAGGAGTTTACATACGCGCGATAATGAATAACATTTATACGATATTATTATTATTATTATTATCATTCGAGGTCGTAAATTATATTCTACCCCGGGCATTACATATCCTCGTAGATAATATGTAAGACCACTTTGTACGATTTTGCGAACCGTATAGGTACCTGGAACATGTTATCACGATATATTATACACAATCCCGACACCGTTAATCTCTCCCGATTTTGACCCGGCTGAGCGGATGACCCTAACAAAATATTACACGTTTTGTTTTTGGGCCGACGACCGTAAAAACAATCGCACACGACAGTTTTCAATATTCGCGCGAACAAAGGCAGTCGGTTATTATTATAACGGCTTTTTAAGGACCCGGGGTTTGCCATATTCATACAACAACGCTAACTATTTTACAGTTACAGTTATTTTCTACCAACACAATTATTACATAAACAATTAAATTATTGGTTTAGCGAATTTCGAATTCAATATTATCACAACGATTACAAAATATTTGTTATTCGTTATTTATAAGGCATAACACGCATTGGATTATCCTATCTATATTCTATATACATACATAAAATATACATATATTAGTGTTGGCCTGTTAAAAAAACAGGAAATCCGACTAGGATGGTATTTTAGCAATAGCTCAGAATCGTTTTTCGTTAGTAATGTTTGATTAATTGTTGCGTACAGATATACATACAATTTCCCTCATCCACGTGTGAAATATGTCTGTCTTTTTTAACATGAAATATTTACTAGAAATTATTTTAAAACGGTAAAAAAATTTATAATTTATCAATATTTTTATTTTGACATTATTCTTATTTTTTTTTTTTTTTTGTTTGTTTGTATTTTCAAAAGTTGGCATTTTAAATACTTTATATTTTATATAGCGATTTTTATCTTCAACTTTTACTTTTTTTATAATCTATAGGCACTATAAGAAAAGGTCAAACGAACGAAAAATACATATAATTCAACTGCGCTGCGACCGTTTACTTACCTACCTCTTATATTATCACCAACGCTCTTTCCTGTGTCCTGCAGATGTTATCTTCAAATTAAATATAAATAAACTCATATTTTTTAACGCGGTTATATAAATATACAAGGGCGCTCCTGATTTCGGAACCATCAACAAAATGTTATTTGAATAATCCGCCTGTACATAATTTAATAACGACTAAACTCCTGTCCCGAAAATCTCTTATTGTAAACAAAACCGGGACAGTGCTTTATCAGGCGTTAGTATGTTATTACCGCCTATACCAAACTATCGATAAAGAAACACTTTCTTTTATTTTATACATACATTTTGTAATATAAGTGTTATCTATAATAAAATAAAAACAAAACTATAGGTTACCACAAAACCAATAATTTTTTTCTAATATTCTTTTTATAAATCCACTAAAATAGATAAAAACGGGCCAAAATAAAAATGATTGATAAATAATCCTGTACCATTGTGGTAAAAGCTGATAAGTGAAAAAAAATCGATTTCGGAATTATACATGATAACTGAAAAATGAGATCGAAATTTTATTGTGTCAAAATATGATATCCGTAGCTCTTATATTATATCTGTTATAAGCGATAAATTAAAATGATAACTGTGTAACCGGAGAAAATAAAATTGTCACGGTACATGATAAGCCACATATCATTACCGGCCGCCAATAATTATTATGCCCATTAATGGTAAGACACATATCATCAATACTAAATATTCCTAATTGTCACTTATGTATGCTTTGCCATATAGTATGTACCTAGGTATCATTTATTGTTTAATTCATATAATATTATAATGTATAACATTACCTTAGGTGTATGCTCATAATATAATATTATAGGTATTGTTATTTAAAGTGATTATCTTGTAAATATATACTTTTAACCTAACCAAAATGCCAAGAGCACCTGTAAAACATGTGACGAGTATTGTATTCAATCAAAACAAATCCATGGAGAAGAACTAGAAATTCTAACTTCTAAAATAAATTTACATAATAATATGGTTTATATGGCTTAAACCTCGAAAAATAGAGATGAACATTTAATAACTTCTACTTTATCAATAAAAATAATATTCTTTGATATGCAGCAATGCTTGCCAACACCGGTTCTCAAAACCAATATGATATTTTACAAAAAACAACTGTGGACCGATAATAAAACAATAAGAGATATCAGACAAAAGACAACATATTGTTACATATGGCATAAAGCTCTTGGTGAACATAGGTCAAATGAAGTTGCATCAATAGTTGACAAATATATTGAAGATAATTTAACAAATAGCATTGAACATTTAATTACGTATTCAGATACTTGTTCTGACCAGAATATAAACGTAGCATTGATGTGTATGCTTGCAGTAAAACTCATTCATCATTAAAAATCATTGACCTAAAATTGCTTGAACCGGGATACACATATTTAGAGTGTGATTCCGACCATGTTTGAAAGAAGCATTCAGATTCAGAAATTAGTATCCAATACAATTGGTACAATTTTATTCGAAACGTAAAAGGAAAAATTCTACTAAAAGTGATAGAAATACAAAAAGAAAACTTTAAATCATTTTCAACTTTATTTAATGGTAATTTAGTCAAATGCATAGTGGATATAAATAATGATAAATTAAATTGGCTAAAGATAGTTTAGTTGACATTTGATGATAATTTTGGCATTATTAAATTTAAGTATTCCCTAAAGAGAATTAACCGTTCAGATCCCTTGACTTAGAAAAGGCCCTCTAAGAAACAGAGATAAAAGTTTCATTGAGGTTTAAAATTTAATAGTTCCTCAAACATATTCAAGTAAAGTGCCCGTTTATATAAAAAAAAAAGAAAGATCTTATTAGTTTGTTACCATTTATAAAAGCAGTTTATCATCAATTTTATCATCAATTGAAAACTACCAATAAAACACTGCTTGCACAAGATGAATCTGATAGAGAAAATGACTAAAACTGACTACCAAATTTAAAGTTCCTCTTAATCATATTTTAAACTTAATATAATATTGTAAACGAGAATGGCAATTTTTTTTTTTTTATTTAAAGTTTTTCGATTATTTTAATATTTTTACTTGACTATATAGACTTTTATAGATATTGTTGTTTTTTATAAGTTATTGCAAATATTGTAATATTTTTACTTAACATGACATGTTTTATTTTTTGTTCATAGCAATAAAAAAAATGATGTTTATAAAAACCTTATCAGTATATTATTGAAAACATATTAAGTGCTACTTTGACAATCGGAAAAAATGGCAAAATATTTTATGTGCATTTTATTGGTCTTTTAGTTAATAATAAGTCTTAAAAAAAAAATCAAATCAGCTTAAAATTATTATAAATGTCTTTCATTGTATCAAGACTATTTATAAATATCCTTCATTTGATGAGATATCATAAAACAAAATATTTTTTATGAAAAACTGTTTGAATGAAATTCAAATAAATTTTAAATGTCCGTACTGAATCAGTTTTTGCCACAGTGGTACAGAATTTCGTTATTGTATAATTTATATTATCTATCATAATATATTATGTGAATGATATTCCACCTTTATATTTTTTCCTCGAGTATTATAAATCCGGATATTTTTACCAGTTACCAGTGATAACGGAGAGGAAGAAGTCCACGAGCGAATGCATAAACAAATTGAATTTAAAAAAAATGCATGGTATTTTCTCTAATATTGAAATTTGTGACGAAAAACTGGGGAAAGAGGGAAATATAGCAACAAACTCAGAAAACGGAAAATGTATGAGTATATGAACTACGTCTTTTTTGTAGCGAAAAATTATCGGACAAAACTTACAATACAAAAGATTGGGTTTCGATAAATCCACTGAATACAATTCGAAAGAATATAATAGAATACTGAATGAGATTATGAACGGTTTGAGAAATCCACGAAAGCTGAAAGACTATACTTCTAGAGTATAGCAGTTGTATTATAATGGAAACGGACATCCTCAGAAATAAAGCATAATTAATATGAATCTATAGATATTAGATATAATTTAATGTAAAAATAAAAATTAACAAATAGTATTTATCCGAGCATGGATGGTCAAAAGCTTCACACGAGAGAAAATATAGCAAAGGTCCGTAACAGACTAAAAAGTATAATGTACACACAGAGCAATTATTCTGTATTTGGAAATAAAATAATAGAAAAATTGATTGATGGTGAGGGAGAAAACCTTGATGGGATGGGAGGGCCAAGTAAAGAGGAGTGAGATAGTCATGTCAACATAAACTCTCGGAGAATATTAAATGGCAAAAGAAAAATAAGAATAATACATTTATCTAATAAACAGATAAACTTCATTCGAATTCAGGATTATGATAGGTTACAAGTTAGGAAAGCCAACTCATTGCGTTTTATGTATGGACAAATTGATGTTCGCGTATTATTTACCTAATTTATTTAATTAAAAAGTTTAAGTTCAACATACTTATATTGTTAACTAAATGCCTGTGCAGTATGTACTCACTTGTTGTTTTAGGGAAAGCCCTGAAGTATAATATAGAACTCGTTTAAAACTTGATATCCTTCCAAACGTAGATATATGAAGTGCGTAGGTGAACGTCGCTATTATGTGCTGCCACAGATTTAATATTTTCATTCAGATATTTCCTTATAGCATAGAACAAAAATAAAGTAAAATACCTCCGTATTTGTTGTGTGTTACTTATAATCACATCAAGAGCAAACCTCGTTATAAGTTTTAACGTTTTAAAGTTTTACATACATAGTTAACATATGAGCGCCGTTGTCGTCGGTTCAAATCATAAAGTTTAATAATTATAATTGCCCTGACTTAATGTAACTATATTATATAGGTACGGACATAATAATAATGTATATATTGTTTTTACGTCATGGATGAAATAATAGAATATTATATTATTCTGTTTGACTTCTTTGTTTAATATACGAGGACGAATATACAGACATAACAATAATACTTATTTTAACTCGTGAAAATTTAAAGACCGAAATGTATAGTTTCGTGTTTGATATGAACGTTTTAACTTTCCAGAGTATACTATGATGTTCTTAACATCTAGATAAGTGTATTCCTTCAAGTTGCTAGAATTAAAATTATTTCCAATTATTTGTACAATTTGGATGTGGTGTGCGAGATAAATCTGATTCACGAAACCGATTTGATTAGGACGTGATAATACCTATACAAAAATATATTTAGGTGAGTCAATACTCACTTTTAAATAACAAGATTTTTTTTTTTGTATACATATTTTCATGAAGAATAATGATTTATGAGCATATGAACTTCAATCGTATATAATTTGCGGCTTTGGTGTTCAAAACGTCAGTTGCAGTACACTCGCGTTAAATTAAAAAAACCGCAATCGTTATACATTGTTCATTATAAACAAGTACCTATTGTTTATCGTTACAATATTTTTTTTAAGTGAGTGTATATAGCCTTATAGGAACTTATAAGTTACTATCAAGTAAATATATATAAGTCAACTATCTGCTGCTAGAAGGAGATGCATTTGTAGTTTCATCAATTGATATATGTTTAGACTACTTGGTGCAATGCGTAATGTACAACAACCATAATATTATTATGGACTACAATGAACTAGACGAATTGTAAAATCGTAAAACATAATATTATAACGAGATTTCAAGTAGTTACGATTAAACGTCATAAATCATCTCCTTATTAAATAAATAAATATAAAAAAAAAAATGGTGAAAGGATAAATAAATGTATAAATAAATATTTATTTATACATAATTATGAAAAAAGCCACTTGAAAATTTCTTTTGTGGATTATAAACAAAATTATATTTCTTTTATGATTATATATTATACTCTCTACTGAACCGACATAATCGTGTCAGTTAAGTACCTATTTTGAATGTTCCGGATTAACAAATCGTAATATTATAGTATTTCAAAAGATGATATTTTTATATAAATCAAATAAACTAATATGAAAGAAAAACCATAAAAGAATCTATAGTGTGACAAAATATCCCGCATTAAGGAAATGATAGACCCGAAGATGAAAATCATGCGATGAAAGGGTGGGGAATAAAAGTCCGAAAATGTCGAACAGTGGTGCAAATTTTTTGAAATTATTGTAAAACTGAAATATTTTTTACTGACTGGTAAGACCCACCCAACATCAATATTATTCGACTTCTGGAACCATTCTGTCTCACAACTTACCTGTGATGAATCTCACGTAAAAGTTTCAAGCATTTCTGTTTAGCCAAAATAATATTATCTACTTTATATAAATTAAAATAAAAACTAAAAAACTTGAAAGTTTATACAATATATCATTTCTAACGTAAAAGTTAGGCACAGTTCAGAACTGAAAATTCTTTAAAACAAATTATATTATAACAGAATAATTTATGTATCAGTTATTTCATAAAATAGCAGCATCATCCAAATTATTCTCTCTATACACCACCACCGTTTAACTTGAAATGATGTGATTCAAACATATAAAATGCCTATAAAAAGCTCAAAAAAGTTTAAAATGTTTTAAACATTTTATCACGTTTATAAAAATTTAATATTAGTACTCTAAGGTAATTTCGATATTCTATTATTTTTAACTAAATAACGACATAGATAGAAAATCGATAATAATGGAACCGTACACATTTTCTTGCTCTTACTTGGTTTTCCCAAATTACTAAAAAACTTACAGGAAAAATCAAAAAATTCCTCCCTAATGCACCAAATAGACCCGAAATGCAACAAAAATAAGTTCTCTTCTCATTTTTTCATTGAAGCAAAATTTCACGACAAAAAGGCACATATTATTGATAAACTGATAAATTCCTCATTAGGAATCTATAATATAAATGATGAACACAAAATGTTTTGTAGAAAAAATTAAATATCAATGAAATATAACGCATTCTAGATTATTATAGTATATCAACTTTTACGGTTATGACATTTTGTAAGATATAAAACAAATGTTTCAGTAAATGACTACATACGCATAATCTAGCTTCAAAGCCAGAGAATCAAAATGTAACTTTATAATTTTACACATTTTTCCATTCCCCAGACTATAATTGTTATTAACATAATGACATTTACATTGTCAAAGAAAATTTAGAAATTGAAACAATTATAATATATTAGTCACATGCAACTTGTGACAAGTAAATAATTTATCTCAGCTGAAATACATTGGTTAGCTAAAAATTTGTATGACAGACATATTTCGTAATATGAATGGACCATTGTTTTAGGTGAGAAAAAGTTGAAGAGGTAGGGGATATATAGGGTAATTCAGTATTATCATCTGTACGCAACGATTACTCATTATTAGACTATGAGCGAAGTTCGGTTAAACATGTTTTGAA